TCACATCACTCATTTCATCCTATTCCTATTATTCATGCCCCGCAAATGGAAACACAACGCGAGCACAAAGAACGCTGTGTCGTGTGCTGACGCGAATGCGTTTTTGGAAAAGACGAGTTTTCGCACAGCCAGGGGTATGGTAAGGAAGTAGTGAAAAGCATCAGACAAATTGAAGTCTTTACATAGTAACTGGTAAGGAATACAAGAAAAATGTCGTAGTGTCAAGTTGGGATGGGAAAATACCTGTAAAATTTCGCACAAGCATTGCTCAGTTCAAGAGAGTCTGTCGTTTTCCGCAAATTTATTTTATTGTTTCCGATCTTCCAAATCTAACCTTTATTTCTTCGAACTGAGGCTTCCAAAAAACAATCTTTGACAATCTTCGAGCTATAAGATTTTTCAGTAGTTGCTGCAATAATTTTGAATACCGTAGAACTGCCTAAGAGTTTTAGATAGTCTTAGTTTACTGCAATCGCAATTATCAGTTCTGAGGAAAGCTGGTGACTTGAAGATGAAGTTAAGAAAATGCGGAACTTCTGTAATAACTCTATAATCTACTACATCAAAACAGCCCTGACCATTCCATTTGCATGACTGAGCTCTTGTATTTCAAAAGAACAGCACCACTCTTCCCACATTAGTGACTTCTTACCACCTCCTTCCCTCACATTTCTTCGAATTTCTTCGAATTCTTCACATCACGCTCGATTTTAGCGATAAAGAGCATGGGGGCTAAGAATTTAATAAGTTGCAGTCCATTTTGCTATTATTGCTTTCTGATAATCAGAAAAGATGGAATTAGAACAGAGCTAGCTTTTAGCAGAAGTAAGAATGAGGTGCTTTGTATGGGTATCTACGAGGATTGATAATGTAAGTTGGAAGTATTTAAGCCAAAATCCGGATGTATGCGAAGACATTTGGACTAAAACATCGAGATCCAAGGATTTTGTCAACTTTCAGAGCAACCTTAGTGTACTTAGTGGAAACTGAGATGTTAGCACCTGTGATTAACGGTGTCCTAGCACGAAATCAAGATCCGTCTAGGTTTTGAGTTTTCAGAACACATCCTTGAGAAATCAAGCAAAAAAATTCAAGAGCTGAAAACTCCTTCAAAGTACTAGGCAAAGGTGTGTTTGTACAAACCAAAAAAGAAAAAGCATTCCAACCAGTTGGTTGTGAGATAGAATGGTTACGGAATTATTAACACTTTGAGAGTGATTGAATACAGTTGAATAAAACAGAATATTTCAATCAATGCCTTTCCCAAAACAGCCATAAAATGCGTCGGGAATCATGTAGTCAAATATATCTACACACATTTCTATAAAGGAACGCCCGCAAAGAAGTTTGCGCAGATTCAAAATAGAAGCCAATAGACGGTATGTGTTTGTTATCGGCTTGTTGTGTGCCCCAAAAATTTTGAACAAACAGGTCTCATCGAGAAGAACGTATAGTCATGAGTAAGTTGTTGACAATTTGCTTCGTACAGCCAAATAACCTCTTTTATGACATTCTTATGGTAATTACTTTGTGGCTGGAATTCACATGTGGTAGTAGGAAAAAAACGAGCGAAAAAGGAGCAGAGGAAAAAAAGAAAAGAGATTGTAAAATAGATTTCATCGCGTGATGATGATGTGTCATATGGGGATGCATGAAGGATGAGTCATGTATGAGGAACTTCGGATGAAATAGAAAAATATTTTGAAAAATTCGTGTTCTTGAAGTTTCGTTGAGAAAACATACAGTAAACCTAATTGGTTCAAAGTGCAAATTGGGAAAGCCGGATTACAGGATTTGGAAAGGATATTAGCACTATTATCACAACGATAATCTAAATGCTAAATCTAAATCAAACTGGTTGCGAATTACAACTCGAAATGGAAATTTTACACGAATTTTATAAAATCCTTCGATTGTGGACGATGGTGTGGTGCTAATGAGTGACAGTGTTTCAGAAGATAAAAGAGAAATAAAAACTTTTTTAGGAAGGATGCCGAGAGAATCACTAGAGCTTTCTCGCACAAGGGGCATTTTGACAAAGACAAGCAACGAGCATTGTGTTGTAATAACGTTAATAAGAAGTGAAACCTGATCTATAAGAACCCCTGAAATGCCCGATGCTAAGCTTTTGACTTTGAAAGAAATGCGCCTAAACAGTATAGCGCGACGAAATGTAAATGTATGGCAAAGTTATGGCGACAGGAAAGATATTGCCTCAAATATATTTCTTCTAATCGGAGAATTACACCTTATGAGTGCAAGATTGCAAAATTCAAAAGAGATGAAGAATCTATAGATTCACTTTTCTCCCCATGCTATGACAGCGATACCAAACCTCAAAATTTCCAGACTCCTTCCATGAAATACTCCGATTCAAAGCAACAGCCTATTGTTTGCGAAGGGTTTTCCAAAATTCGCTTTATGTCTTGTTGTTGCTTCAGATGAAAGACCACCTTCAAAGCTAGATGATGCCAGAGCCATTGAGATAAATGTGGAGTTCCAATCAATGAATATAGACATTACAATACCCTTTAAAAAATTCCACATATCATTGATTTATTTTATTATAAACTCATGCCTTATGTGAAACCATGAAAAACTAACATTTACAAGCGCTTATCCTCAACAAAAATATTGCTGACGAAAAGATATTCATCCTGCCGCGGTTCCCTGATTTGTACGTTCTGGCATAAAAGTGAAACCTCACAGTTCAATGGTTCATTTTGAGTGACCGCATTTTTAAGTAATCCTTCACTCGCCTACATCGGATAGTTTGATAGCTTATTTTCTCAATTCGAAAATGTTGCTGACAACTCATATAAACTCAGCTACTCTGCGGCAACACCATAAGGCCACTCAATTTCATTTCCCCATCTTCTGAAAAACGTGGAAGTAGCTCCAAGAGTTTGCTGGCTTTCATGACAAGAAATGCATTGTCAAAAACTAAAATTACGCTGCCGTTCGCCGTAAGAACATCAATTCATTGAACTCACGGCTAAATCACTCTGAGCTTTCTCGAGTTGGGGAACGGCTCACTCCTGGGAAGTTATGATCTCCTACAATATTTAAAGACATCGAGTTTAGCTGACTACTTCTGCCCTATCACTTATTCTTTTTCTACAGTTGAAACCATCATTTTGGATTGATCTGCACAGTTTTTGGTAGAAAATCGTCAAGACTGTCTTGGTGCAGTACATAGTTTACAATGCAATTTATTGTTTCACAATCATCGAAATTAGAAAATGAAGGCTATGCATTGGAAGAATGTTCACCAAAGATTTTGAGCATCTTAGTGCAACTAGTCGTTAGACTAGATTGAGCAGATCACCCGATTCTTATATGATCCACATAAAATTTACAGGAAGAACTCAAAATATAAAAAAGCATAGGTTTTAACCATTTTTTGCTCCTCCGGTTTCATCTACAAGTCCTTATTTCAGATCGACTATAATATGTTCATGCTTCCACGTGAGCTTGTAGACAGTTTTTTGATTGTGATGAATACACAAACATCAAGGAAAGTGATTTGTCTAAAATCTGATTCATATATTGAAGGATGAGCTGAAGCAAGTAGAAATGTCTAGAGTTTTATAGCAGTGCAAGGCTAATGACTCTGTATCTCCTAATTCGAAAACATTACTTTCTGGGGAAAGCTGGAGGAGAAAATTTTGTAAAAGTTTTGGTTTTTAGTACGTTCGTTTTATACCACATTATCAACAGCCAGATTTTCGTGAATTGTAAGATTTTAACAATGAAAAAAAACGGAAACAAGTATTAGCTTATTTCTCAATAAAATTCTGTATCTTTCGGTGATGATATGCGATTTAATACAAACAAACGAACCCAAAAAGATTTCAAAACCCAAAAAGATTTCAAAACCCAAAAATAAAAGCGAAGCAATGAGCTGCTACATTGAAATGAACTCGAGTTGCTTTATAAGGGGATGGTATGGAATTCGAAACATTCAAACTTTGTTTGCTTACTGCAGCTAATATTTCCAGCCTAAATCCAACTGATCATTCCAAGGTAAGTACAAATTCAAGTCTTTGCATACCTAGGCCACTTCTACAACATTTTCAAAGAAGTGGGAGCAATTTTTTGGCGAATACTAAACTTCGAAGGTACTTTTGTAAAACAAGATGAATTAAAAAGGCATCAAGATTCGGCAGAGAAATCGAATGACAATTTTTAGCAGGAATATTGGCTAGAAAAGTCACAAGAAATCAATTTTGGAGTGATATTCAGAGCAATTAGGGAGCAAAATTTGCGAAAAGGCCTTGCTGATGAGTTCGCGATTGCGCCGAGTTGCGCGAACGGTCGTGATGTTCGGCTTGGATCAGAGTCACGACGAGAACGGTACAGCTTTGAATAAAGGATTATTTGTGAAAACAGGTGTAGAAGTTCTTCACGACAACATCAAGCCGATCGATTCAGGTCTTATCGTAGAGGGGCGTAAACGACTCATTCATTATTTGCCGATAACGTTGTTATGATTTTATCTGTTGTGACCGTGTTCAGCTTGTACGTCAGGGAGTAAGAAAGAGCAGAGCGGTATCCTTTAACATTTTTTCGGATTTATCTTTACGAGTGACAGTTCGTTTTTATTGCGTATTGGCAACATTTTTGAATAAAATTGGAAATTGTACAAGCCATTGAGAGTCATAAAATTTAGAAAATTTGACATTCTCAAATGTACGGATAAAGTAACGCCCTTATGGAACAAAATCCCAGAAAATAAGCAGGACTATAGAATACTAAAAATCCGTTTGAACAAGCTGAGTTCAAGTCTGCACACAGATTTTGTAATGTAGAAAGGAAGCTATGGACAAATGTAGTAAAATCCAAAATCCAATGGAATCAGGACCATGGAAATCCCGTGCATCTCGGAAATTGCGCGAAAGTGGACATATTATACTCATAATTGTAATTGTAGAGCTCAAAATTTCTAAGAAGAACAAATTGCACTAAACAGATAACAACATCAATAACTTTATTTTATTGCACAATATCTCAAAGATTAACCAAAAAAGATTAAAACAGCGATTTTGAAAAAAAATCAAAAGCGAGTAACGTCCGTAGTTTGTGCTTTGCCAATAGCTACCTTTGGCTCTTCTAGGCTTTGACTAAACAGAAAGGCTTGTGATGGTTTACGGGACTTCCTCAGCTGACTACTTGGATCTTCAACACTCGATCCGGAAGAAATAGACAGCACACTTTGTAGAGATTCACTTTTTGTGAGTTCTTCGACTTTGCCTTGTTGCTGATCCCCTGTCTTCACGTACATCTCCTCTTTCGTGTCTCGTAGCAGATTCGCCACTAGCTGCTCTATTTCATCAAGGCGAAGGAAGAGAATGTTGAATTCGTTGTAGAGATTTTGCTGCTGGAAGGACAAGCTACAGTTCAAACCAAGCTTTAAAACACAAAATCTCACTTTTTGCCTGACTTCTGTAAGATCGCTGGATTCGACAGGTTTCTCTGCCAAGCCACTTTTCAGCTCTTCTTTGATTCTCGCAAGGTCCGCTTCCAGCTCATTTTTGTTTTTGATTTGCTCCTTTTGCAATGAGTCAAGTCGAAAACCTATGTTTTGCTGGCCATAAAGCAGAACACGCAGCTGAAATGTTTTTTCTTCGAAAAATCAGCACCATTATCCAATAAGTTGCGACTGTAAATAGCGCAAATAGAGATCTGAAGTTTCGATGTGCTGTAATCTAGCTTTGTTCATTTGTTTTCTATAACTTCACTTGCGAGATCATTCTGTCAGCCTAGTATGCTTAAGTTGGAGATCAAGCCATGCATGCCAAAACAGTTTCTAAAAAGGTGTTACCTAGTTTCTGGACGACTTTGATGTTTTTGACTATTATTTTCACATGTTAACAAGTTCTTTTTACATTATATCATTCTCTTTGCTTTGGTACCCGTTTGAGGAGATCGAAGACTAGTGAGACCTCTACCTTGAGATCCTCGCCCAAGTTCCCTGACGGATTCGTCCGCTTTGGATTAAGTTGGTCAGCAAGCTGGTGATTTGTTACGTCTCCATGCGTCTGGCAAGGGAAAAGGATCTAGGTGAAACCCCAATGGTTTGTGTCCTGTGTTCTTTTTTGTTTCTATTTTTGGCACACATTTGTGCGTTAAAAATAAATATATAAGTAAATAAACAGATAAGTAAATAGATAAATAAATGAATAATTGTTCTTCAGCACTTTTTTCATGCTTCTAGATAAATCGTCTCAAACGTGGTCCTCATAAGCTCATGAGCTCTAAAATAGTGTAAATAACATGTTTTGGAATGTAGAGAAATGGAATAAGTTTTGTAAAAGATCTCAGCGAGTTTTGGACAGCCACACCCCTTGCGCCCCTCTCCAGTAGAAATTGTAGTGCCTCGCCCCCTCCCCCCCCCCTCCCGACCCCGTCGAAAGAAAAATTTTCTAGGACGCCACTGCTGATACCGTTGTGTTTTTGGCCAACTACACACAAACAGCGATCAAAGTGTTAAGGGAAAGCAAGGGACATACTCACGTCGTCTTTGATAGCTGACAGTATAGCATTGGTAGGATTGTTTTGACCGCCTTCGTGTTTAGCTGCTCCTGTTTCCAAGATCTGCAAAAAATCATTTATTTTTGCAATTACAAATTTTGCTACATTCAGAGGACGCCAGTGCCGTTAACTCACATTACTTGTCCTATAAACATTCTCGAACTCGTGCTGTAATCTTGATTTCTCTTGCGTGAGCTTTTCAATGTTTGTTCTACAGTCGCTCGTAAAATCGCTGAGCTGGAAACCACAACATATTTTTGTCAGATTTGGAAAAATTTACAGTAGGATGTTGTTCATGTTCTATCCGTGAGTCTCGAAAGCCATTCGTTCTTGGGCAGTCGTTCAATTCTCTTCTGGCTTCGCCCACCTAGAATGGATCAAAATGTGAACAGATTTCAACATATGTGAAAAAAACTCTACTGATTAGAGCTTATCGATAGAATGACATGAAGAAATCACTAGAAAAATATTTATTCCGGTATACATTCCAGCTTATGACATATGACTTCACATATGTCATTTTCATGTCAGAAGAGCTGTCCCTGCCAGCTTATTTGAAAAAATTACGGTATTCCTCTAGATTGGGCAAACATTGCGGGAAATCAGAAGTGGGGAAAGGAAAAACACTTATACATTAGGTTGAACCGAAAGTTCTGTCGTTTCATATTCAAAGATTTGTAACTCCGCGAAATTTTAACGGATTTGCTTGCTTGTAATTTCAGTAGAAAGATTAAGTCTTTAGCTTTCAAATGCTTTTCAGTGAAGCTTCTGTTTCATACTGGGTGCGGAGATAAAAATGGAAAAGTAAGACCATATAAGCTTTGACCATTTTAAGTTAGGTCACCAAAAATCTGGAACGCTGCAGAAAAATCTGAAATCTTCAGTACTTATGTTTTTCAACCTACTCTTTACAACTGTGAAAAGTTTGTGCTGTTTGGACGTCTCTGTGAGAAGTTATGATTTTCGCGAAAATTGACAAATTAATCAATTTTGGCGTTTTCCATATTAAACTCGATATTCATAACTTCTCACAGAGACGTCCAAACAACACAAACTTTTCACAGAGCAAAGGGTAGGCCAAAAAACATATGTACTGACGATTTCAGATTATTCTGCAGCATTCCAGATCTTTGGTGACCTAACTTAAAATGCTCAAAGTTTACATGGTCTTAGTTTTCCATTTTTATCTCTGCACTCAGTATGAAAGAGAAGCTCCAATGAACATCATTTGAAAGCGAAAGACTTAATCTTTCTTAATCTTTAATCTTTCTCACAATTACAAGCAAGCAAATCCGTTGGAATTTCGCGGAGTTACAAATGTTTGAAAATGAAACGACAGAACTTTCGGTTCAACCTAATTATAGAAAAAGCACCTAATTGGTTTGGTATAGGATCAGTGTGAAATGTGACGACGTACTTTTGGACTTACCACCCTTTTTGCTTTTAATACCTAGAAGATTTTGTGTACTTGAGCCCCACATGCGGAGAGTGATTGGAAAATTTAACTAGGCCATCGTCCAAGCGGCAACTCATCTAATTCATTCGTGGCCAAGATATTTAAAACTGAACTCTCGCCCAAAATGTACCCCTCCGAAGCAGGACATCCAACCCACCGCCAGTCAAGGACGATCTGGGCGAGAATTCGGAGTCAAATTTGGGGGCCACCACTGATTTTTATGAGCTGCCACCTAAGCAGCCGCAGCATAAAGCTCAAGCACTTAGATTTACCAGGACACTGCTTTGTTTACATACCGTACGCAATTGCAGACCGCTAATTACACCGTCTCGCGGCAGTGATTCTTCCACCAATGGAATGAGTCGGATTAATCGCTGTCTGCCGTTGCATCGTGGTTCACTCCTATCCCTGAAGCGCACTATTCTATTTCCATCACCCACCTGAACAAAAAACAGCTATTCAAAAGAATAACTTAATGAGCGACAACTCACCTGAACAAAATTCCTTTTTGTGTAGAGCTGTTGACGGCTTGATTCGGCTCCAAAAGACATCTCGGAGGAGCATACAGCGGCTATATTTTCTTCCCTAAGAGCACCCACGCATTCTCTTCGAACTGTGTCATTGTCTTAGTCATCCCGTCTTCTAACTGTACATGTACGCCTCGAGAAACTTCTTCACTTTGTGAAATGAAAAGATGTTATGATCGAATGTTAGGGGAAACAATGACACCTACTAGCTGACTTTAAAGGAAATGTATCAATCAGAACAAAAGGTGAATTCCCGTACAAGGTTAGGAGCTTGGAGCTGCTTATGGCATTTATGCAAAATTGTGGCTTTTTTCTTAGTTTGCTGTTCACCTTGTACAACGTGAAAATCTATGGAATAATTTACTACCGTTCATGGCAGGTGTGGCTCTGTATTTTCCAAGGAGTAAGATGGGAGGGGGTAGGGTGATTGTCCGAGAAATTTCAAATTTTTTCAGGTAATTTATAGATTAAATTAAACATACGATAGTCCCTCATTCAACCACTTTCGCAATCTGCAGTCGAGCAGGGAATGGAGGTAAAATCACTATGATTGAGAAAAAAGAACAGCACAAAAACACGAAAAAGTAGCACGAGGACGAGTTTGGGAGAAGAAAGGGTCCATCGTTTTGGATCTGCGTATTCCAGTGCGAATGCAAATAGTGTAATCACACAAGCCGTCTGCGAATGTGGAATACTGTACTTGCTAATCCCTATCTGTGTTTGCTAATCCAATTTCGAGACCAGTAACATGTGTGTGTGTCAAGCCATAATCGAAGCCATATGTAAGATTCAGAAAAAAGCTTTTTTCCCGGAAAATTGCCGGAATTTGTGGAAGGGTAAAATTAGGCGTTATTGCTTTACACCAGCACAGCACATTTGCAATGATTTCCATCGAGCATATCTTACTCAAAAGAGTTTTTGGCCTGCTCACTGCTCAAGCATCAATCAGCTTGATACTTGGACTTTGATGGTTATCGGTTTCTCAGTGCTTTGACAAAAAATGGTGCTGTATTAGTTTTGTCAAGATCATTTTTTATAAAGCGCCAAGAAATCACATTTGACAATGAAACTAGTAAAAAGCAAAGATTCTTCAGGTGTATTACATTCCGACTCCTATGAGTGTAAAAACTAGATGGTTCTAACATACATAAGAATCCGAAAATATAGATGGTTTCGTACTTTGTGCGATTACACAACTTTCTTCATTCACGATCATTAGCGATGGAGCGCGCTAGATTGGACTGGAGAGTAGCTGAAAGGCTACTTCTCATTGGATTTCACATAATCTATGACTTCTATAGGCGTAAAATTCGTCCAACCAATATATTCTAATAAGTTGCATTCTTTGCAGAACTTGTCTCTTATTTCCGTCATATACGATGTTTACGCCATTCCAAAACTGTGCTGCACTTTAGGTACATATAATGTATGTCACTTGTCACGAAATTAACTGAAGAGTGCAAAATCTTGCAAGTTTTTTGCACACTGTTTGAAAATATGAGAGCGATCTCCAATGACGTCGTGGATCCAATCCATGTTTTTACTTCTTTAGTCTCTACATGTACTAAAACGAAGGTACAGGAACAGAACGTAGGCCATGAACATTTACTGTGCTCGAAAATTTTACAAAATATGCAAAACTCTTTAGTTGGTGTGACGGACGGACTAGGTAATCAAAGCGATTTTACAACACAAACATAAACGCAGTTAAAAGAGAAAAAAATCATGCAAGAAAAAATGAGAAGTGGAGAACGTTATGTCGTCAGCATGTTCTTCTTCTCAGAAAATTTGTATTGGGGCGTTGACTGTTGGACTTTATCCGAAGGTTTTTCGGAGAATCTGCACGCTGCGCAGGCTTTCCGAGCGAGATTCTGGACGGACGGGATCGGCATTTCTTAGGATGCCAGTCGAGGTGGAAGCCGGAGATTCAACGCGGTATCCTTAAAAATCAATAAATCAATAACACTATCAAAATTTTTGCGATCCATTTCTTTGGGCTAAACAATCCCCATACCATTTCTGCTGTCCGAGCGGTATCTCTCCGAAGAATACTCTCGGCTTGCCTCCCTTCTGTGCGACTCTTCAGCAAAAGTGGAGTCTTGCGCTCCTTGAAATACAATAATTAGAAATGAGGAAACAAATCTTACGTATAAGCTAGTAGATCCAACTGTGAATACAGTGTGCCTGCAATGTCGAGATTTGCCGACAACCTTTGCGCGTGAACGAATCGCTGCGCCTACGCCAGCGATTTGCGCGCGAGTTGCCGCAAAGCGCAGAATTTTGCGTACTTTGGCAATTTTTACACGCGCAAATGCTGCCGGCGATCGGCACCGCAGCGACACCATATTTGCCGTCAAATCTATTAGTCTATGGATGTGACTGTTGCGATTATTGTTGCCGTGCGGTGCTTGGGTAATAGATTGTGGCTTAGTTTATAATGCAGGATTATTGAACAAAAAATTCTAGGGTAGAGTAGACTTGCACACAACACCTCTTTCAAAATGTTGCCTAATCGAGTCAAAAACTTCACGGCCTGGCGAACGCTGTTCAACTTCTACAAGTGTCAGCATTATATTGAAAAATCGAAAAAAGTGCAAAAGTAAGCAAATTCAGCTCTGATTCTTACCTCGAGTCTCGAAACTCGCTCGTCTTGGATGCGTGTACGAGCGGCTATCGCTCTGGGAGCTTACAACTTGGGGTGACACTTCTCTTGTGTGGGATTCATACCTGAAAAATCGCAAAATAAGCAGTGATGAAATAAATAATAATTTTTCTCACCTATACTTCGAGGTGGAGGTGTAATCGCCGCTGGCAAGAGGACTGGCACGGACTTCATCACGAAGGCGATCACGGCTGTCATCCCTTCTTACGTAGATCTCGCGCTCTCTGTCCTGTTCACGACTGCGTTCGCGTTCGCGTTCACGTTCGCGTTCGCGTTCTCGTTCAAGCTCCCGTTCCCGCTCTCGTTCCCGTTCGCGGCGTTCACGTTCTTCACGTTCGCGACGTTCACGTTCTTCACGTTCGCGGCGTTCACGTTCTTCACGTTCGCGTTCTTCGCGTTCACGTTGCTCGCGTTCGCGTTCACGCTCACGTTCGCGCTCGCGCTCGCGCTCGCGTTCGCGTTCGCGCTCACGTTCTCGTTCACGTTCGTATTCGCGTTCGCGCTGTTCACGTTCAACGCGTTCGCGGCTTTCTGACCTTTCCGATTCACGAGCTATATACACCTCACGAGCTCGGCTATCGCTAGTTTCGACTCGTAGGGGAACTTCTGTTGTGCGTGGTGATCCATCTGTAATGTTCACATTAGAGCTTGTTGTTTTATTTAGTGGTAACAATTTCAAGTTTTCCTCAAAAATTTCAATATTTTTTAAACCTAAAAATCATTCTATAGTTGAATCATTTAATGTATTTGACTTGATACCATGTTCGCACTCGTCAGCCGTTGACGCAGACAATTCGCAAAAGCGTTCAAGGCAGTAGCGCGGGCTTGGTGCCTCTGAGTCGCAGCGCGCGGAGTGATCCAACGGCATGCAATGATCGCAGATTACGTATTGTCTGCGTCCTTCGTTACACCCAAACGTAGATAGTAATCAGTTTTGACAAACTGATGACTAAGTCGTGTAAGTAGCTGTGTTTTTTCTTTATTATTCTGGATAGGGGGAATCCGCTATTAGCCGCCGCTTCGCGGACTACTGGCCTTAACACGATATACAGAGCACGTGCGATCGGACTAGTAGTCCGAGGAGACGAAACATATTGGCGGAAGTTCCGCCACCATTATTTTGGGACCTGCTGACCAGTCACTTTTTTGCGTCTTATTGTTAGTACTGTTTGATGTGACTGTGGTAAAGAATTTTCTTGAATTTTGCGGAAACAAAATTCTTGATGCATCAATCAAAATCAATCGTTTCTCCTGCGTGTCCCTATTGGTTAGTGTAAATAACATAAAATTTGATGCGATCGACAAACAACGCTCAAAAGCCATTTCTTTTTATGAATCTGTGAGTTGGTCAAGCCTTATGGAGACTAAGGAAACAGAAAATAAAGCAAAAGAAGATACATTACTTTACAATAAGCATACGATACTTGATGCTTACATCAGAATTCTTTATTACAATGGGAAAATAAATGGTCAAACGCGAAGATTAGCTGACTGATGGGCCGCATGCACAGCATTGTCAAGCTAGTGTCTTCCGGACTCACTTGTGTAGGATGTTTCATGTAGACGTTGCGACGATGAAGATCTGGCACCTTCAATTGGAATCACTCGATCTCGTCCGGTGGTGACGGCATAGCGACGTGGTGCTTCGACTGTCAAACGGCCCTGGAATTCTGAGGTGATTAAGGTATAGCGATAAAGATAAGAATTGATCGATAAATGGTATGAAAAAGCGCAAAAACGCACCCTCGAGTCAATGTTACTCGAAATACGAGCATGATCAACATCATGTGGCATTTGGTACTTTCGTACAAAGTACATTTTAGTGAAATTGTCACGATCGCGGACATCTTCGTGTCGTCCTTCGATCATGAGCGTATCGTCCTGGGTTTTCACCTAGAAAACATTCCAAATTTTGTTTTCACTGTGTTTGAGATGTTGACGGATCGCTATAATAATTGTACTTGTATTTCTTCTGGTTTAAATTGATAGCAGTCCACTTCGACGGCGAACCTCCGCTCATCATTGATGATATTCGAATGCACATCGATACCCTCCTGTAAAGAATAAAGGGGATTAGATGGCTAGAAATGACGTAAATGCTCTTGAAAATGCTTGTGCGTAAAACTGAAAGATAATAAGTTGTCCTACTTAGTAGTGAGGTCAAGAGGAGTCAAAACTAACCTTGAAAATTGGCTCTGCCCATCGCGGATAGATGTCCTGCCAGAATGGATCGTTTCTCCAGTTACGATCCAAACGATCCAAGTGCGATGTGAACTGCAAAAATACATTTTCACAAAATATTTGACCAAAGCGAGATTTTGTAAATCTACATGGGAATATGCATAGCGGATATTACTCCTTGACAGTGGTGATATCCACATTTTAGGGGGGCGGAAACCAGTTCGCAAATCGAACTCGACCGATGCACGGAGCTATTGTCATGGCAATATTTGCACAACCGATGCGATTATTGAACAGAAAATCGAACAATACAAAAATGAGAACGAGATGCAAAAGGTGTGTACAGCAAAGAACGCCGCTTAATTTTTTTTTCTTGAGATTTTCCCATTATGATAAGATTTTTCCCATAAAAGTGGAAGTTTATTACAAGAAAGACATGTTTCTACTCACCCTTGGCATGACTGCGTCCATTCGCGGCCAATCCGATGGCCAATCGCGCCACCAGTGGTCAGTATCGCGCCAGAACTGAAAAAGCCGGAAATGTGTGAAAAACAAACATCTTAAATCGTTTTTATAGCATCTAGACAGGTGTTTTCCTTCCTTTTGAATTACAAATTTCACAAATATTGATCGTTTACTATTGAGAAGAGTGTATTTCGTGTGATAGACGGAGAGGTATGAGGGTTGACATTGACAGTGTGGACCGGATCATAATAGGCCGCGCAGAGGAGGCAAAGCAAGTCCAACACTAAAACGGTCAATACGAATGGAAATGTCGGTGTGAGTAGCTTGCGAGTAAATGGAATTAATTTGACTTTATTAATTCTGACAGAAAAAAAAGATCTGAAACAATTTTTCTGGTAATCATCATATTCTGAAAAGGCTGGTTTATAGCAAATGGCGAGGTTATTTGCGCCAAGGAAAGTACTAGGTATTTTAGAGGAGGAAATTAAGCATATACTCACGACTTCAACCCAATTATTAGACTATAAAAATCGTTTTCGCTCTAGGAACTATGGAGGGCCAGTACTAGAGATTTAATGTGGATTAACTGCAGAAGCAACAGCAAATGTAGAAAAAAACTTTGTAAATATTGATAAGCAGCTCAACATTCGACTGATTTTGTGATAGCATACAGTTGTTAGGAATCAAGACTCGCAAGATTTTTGGAGCAAAAATCTCTTTGAGTGGTTTGCAAAAGCATTTCAAAGCCTCAAGTGGCAGAATTTTCGGAAGTAGATATAGCTACATGAAACATTTACACAGCAATTCAGTACTAATTCAAATCCAAAAAGGTGATGTAATGCACGCCAGAGCTCTAATCGGACTACACTGGGATAGAGAACGGATGTGGAAAATACACAAGTTGCAAATTCATCCCCCTCAAATGGGATTCCCCCAGAACTGGTTATAAATGGAAATAGAGCAATCAAATGAGGGGTATTTTAACGCCCAAGTAAAGTAGTTTTGCAGCCTTAGAGAGTGCTTTTGAAGGGCGTAACTCAATAATTTAAGAATTTTTTCTGGAAAATGAAGAGAGGGGGGGGGGTAAGAGAAAGTAGAGTAGAGTGAAGTAATGTAGCTGTCTACCACTCACCCTGTTCATGAGGTCTCTCGGGCGAGGCCAGTCGGCAGGCCAATCCTTCCAATCGTCGAACCAATCCTCTCTAGCCCACCATGAGTCGCGATGTCGCAACGCGAAGTCGTCATCGAACCAATTGCGACGCATTGTCACAGCCATTTTGGTCGAATCTTCTGGAAGTAACTATAGGCTTTTCCGTTGTTCGAAGTGGCACAATTTTCTCGGTGAAGAAAAGTTGTATACACGTAAGCAGACGTGGAAAAAAATGAACTTTTGAATGCACCTGAGGTAAGAAGCCTAGCCATGCTGAGAATAATGTGGGAAGGACTGCTTAGTATGAAATAGTAAGTAGCAATAGTTGGGCTTGACCCTTCTTACCCTAGACGATTACAGCATAAAGAAAGAAAACAGAAAGTAGCTGGAACAGCCTATGCTAATCACTGTATAATCGCAATCGCACCCGATTACCGCCGCCAATCGCACAGGAAGAAATCATCGCGCCGATATGCAACTCTACTATCTCAAAGTGTTTTCGATTTTTCCCCCAACCCCTTAATTGGACACGCTGAGTGGGCGAAGATCGTCTTGGCCACAAATTCACCTGTTGTCAAGTCAACTGGTTTTGCGAGAGACGCTTAGAGAAGCGAAGCGCGAGGCTCGTCAGTCGCCTATCGCGGAGGAGGGCAAAATCGTCGCACCGAACGCGGTAAATGTGCCGCCGCCGAAGTGCCGCCGATGTGGCAGCGACTTGGCGAAGAAGGACGAGAAAAGAGGTGTTTGGCTTCGCACACACACACCTAGGACACATTCAATTTGTCCGTGTGTGGCAGCGTGGATGTTAAACAGAGCGGCGCCAGCCTCGATCAGGAATTGGAAAATGGTTTTGACTGTGTATGACTGCACTGTGTGTACGTGCCATTGCACGTTTCTACCCCTCAGCCGAACGTAGGCGTTAAACAGCACAAACTTTAACACACATGCGCTCACACACACGAACGATCCAGATGTTAACCCCCCCATAAAACACACCTGGATCGAAACAGCAGTTTTTTTCTTTCGCTGTCAGCGCGTGGATACGGTTGAATGCGATTCTGTGCTGAATTGCCGCGATTCTGATTCATCGCGTTTTTCAGTAAAGAAACGAGCGCGATTGTTCTGAACTAGGCAGGCTAGCATGATCTATTAGTGGTTTGTTTTGAGCAGAACTTTAAAAAATTTGAGAAATTTTTTTGGAGGAACAAAGTTATCCATGTTGTCGAGTATCCTGGACTTTATTGAAGGGAGGAAACGGTAACTTTGTAACAGTAAAACTGAGAGCTTTGATCAAGTATCGTATGACTGTTATTTTTGATTCTCTTTTATTTTGACATTTCTTTTACCAGTTCAGAAATACTGTTACGGTCTTTCATAGAGTACAGGATTTGCAAAAACGTTCAAAACTATTGTAAAAAATCATCTCATGCTCCGAAAATACCAAAATTAAAAACTCAAGCGATACAACTTGATCTTATTCAGCTCTAATTCAAGCGACTCAACTCAGCCACATAGAATTAACGAAGTAAATATCATTACTGTGGTGATAACAACAGTATTAGCCTATTTCATGCTGAGAAGAAAAATCACTTTAGATGTAAAATCATAGTTCCTTTTTTGGAGTTTTTGTTTTCGCCATCTTGAGCGCGATTGAATGAATATAGAAATGAAAATAAAACCTCGTTATTGAATGCCTTGGAAACAAGACTTGAAAATGAAACGCTAAAGCGACTGATGCCGATGAGAAAACGTGCCATATAAAGTCATACATTTTCGCATTGATTGACAAAACTGTGAATTTCGAACAGTTCGCCCCATAATGGCTACAGTGAGCGCAAATGCCGAGAACTTCCAGCCCACAAAATCAGAAATCAGCAGTTCTAAGGAAATGTAAAATAGAAGTTTATTGTATAGGATAGAAGGAATGGTCAAGATTTGAAATAATGTGTAGGATTGGCTAGCTTTTACAGCTACACAAGTTAAAAATTGATCTTTATCGGTTGCGATGTCGGCGGCTTTTATACAGATCGAAGGGGTGGGGTTGGGGCGGCACCCCCGAAGAGAGTGTTGAATCACCATTACATCGAGTAATTGTTGCTCTCTGGGTAAAGACTACGCAGTAATTGGAGATGTATACAAAATAGGCTGAGAATGAGTAACCGGTAACACATTGGGTTGGTGGTCGCTAGCTGTTTGTTGTCTGGGATTGAACGATGATTTTTCCCCTTTCAAGAAAGGCGTTTTCTAACATTTAGGTCATGTCTCGAAGGTGTTAACCCCCCGCGCCATTACTACAACCAATGTGACACACCCTTTTTCGAAAGTAGAAGTGTGATCAAGTGATCGTGATTCATTTTTGTCAAGCCATTGAACTAACAAAACTAACAGGAACTAACTTTCGCTTGAGCGATGATATTGAAAGTGAAGAAGTCTGAAGAATTCCGTAGAACTCACACAACACAGCTACGAATGCTGAACCGAACAAATACACCAACACACTGATTTTCCAAACATAATAAGCGAGCAAGAGCAAAGTCAAAGAAATACGTTAACATAACCAGCTGCCCTAGTTCGCACTTTTAATCTGCTTAGCATAGATGGAGAGACGTGTGCAAAATGAGATCATTGCGAATTTTTCGCGTTTGTTTCTGGAAAATTTATTATGCTAAAGATTTTTCAGATTTTTGTAGCACACAAAACATATACATTAAAACAGGATTCGGTGAATTTGTGGAAAATCTGGGGCAAGAAGAAAAAAGCTGCAAAATTTTCGAAGCGCATCAAAATGCGAGCCTGATTTGAATTTTACTAGAAAACGTACATTTCGGTACTGAACAGGAACTCGTACCAAAAATCAACCGAAAGCTTATATAGGTAGTAATTGTAGGATACTTTGATATAAATGGAGCTGATAGTGCCAGTTACAGCTTAAGGACTTTGAAAATCGTAGATAATTGACCAAAGACAAACATAATTACTTTGACCAAACTTTTACAACTTCCAGCGCAAGAATGTAAACCATTTCTTTGACAAAATCATGATTTGGTTGACCAAAGGCAAAATCATATTTACTGTTAACCAAACTCTCAAAAGTTACAGCGAATGGGAAAGCGTTTTCTTTGCCGAACTTCTTTTTTTAAGGAAAGAGATCTAACGGAGAAAAACCGTAGCGCAGCATATGATTGCAAAAAAACATGTAAAGTTATTTTTACTTTTTTCGTGAACAGTCACAAAGGTCAGTCTATAGATGTGATTGTCATTGAATGTAACAAAAAAACTTGGAATTATTGATAAGCAGCTTAATATTGGACGTTTTTGTGATAGCAGACGGTTTCTGGGAATTAAGGAATTTCAGACTTGACTTTCTCCAAGGCAGTTTGCAAAAGCATTTCATGGCCTCGAATTTTTTTTGTGGATTTGGTTAGTCGCAGAATCTGTATTGTTAGAAGAAGTAAAATAAGACCAAGCATTTCGACAATTTCTTCCATGTTCAGAAATATACCTAGACTCGAAAATTATCAATTCCAAAGATAATAGCATAAGAGGGTAGAAAAATTAGAGTCACGCCACTCAAATTGGAGAGGAACCCGTTTGGAATAATTCTGAATGTAAGAATTTCAAGACGACGGCAAAAATGAAACCGTTACGAAAGTAAGGAACGGTGCACTTAGTTATGTACACTTCGACCTCGGCCTACATATATAGCTTACAAAGTGAATCATATAGATTTTTTTCTAAGCTCAAGAATTTTCGTCTGCATTCCAGTGTTATCTTTTCGTCGAGATAAGCTAAAGGTAGATAGTTTCATTTCCTGAGGAAGTTTAGCTTAGTCATAGCGGAGGCGAGATCACATGTTCGTGAGCTATACTTTCATAACAAACTTTCATCATAGTACGGAACCCATTTAGACAGTTTTTGTCGATGAGTTTGACTCAACGCCACATTTCAACACGCTCACGCATATGTGTACGTCCTGTCCAACTCAAGAATCTTGCGTGGGACGAGTATCCGGCTTGCCCATTACCCTTGAGTTCTTCAAACTGTTCCGTGTGTGTGTGAACGTCGAAAACGATCACATACGAGGCGTTCGACAGGCCGCGAGGCCAAAAGGGCATCGCATTACGGCAAAACGCATGCTGAGAACATTCAATCGCGAAAATGACTCAGCATCAGTCAATTTTCGTCATTCGTCGATGTTCGTAGAGAGCGGGCAACATGGCATGGATTTCGAAAACTTTTGAGGCTTTTAGTTTCGAAATCATCTTTACACGAGATCAGAATACTTCAAAAGCATATACAGGGTGGCCGAAAAGAACGGGAGTCACATTTTTCGTTTTGATTTTTCGTAGCAAACAAACTTCTGTAAGATTATCTTTGCATGCCAAAAACAAAGACTAAGTTATGTTAACTGTTGTTTTGTTAACTCTAATATATACCGGCCTATAATTAGGTTGGCCAACAAATTAGTTCACTTTGGCACATCGTCTTGATGTTCTTTATCCATGATTTTTGGCCTGAAGGTGTTCGAAGCTTCTACTATCATATAACAAATACTCAAAAAATTTTATTCAAAGGACGGTTATGCCCCAACATATCCGAATTTCCAAAAGCTCAGATCTTTGAATTTTTGAATTTAGTTTTCATGCTGTGATGGATGTAAAGATCAATAATTTGGTATCGGAATACATACAAGTAATCTCTATCTTACGAATAACAAAATTTTTAATCGCCGTTTTTGCTACCGAACTCTACTCTCCAGCCTAATAAAGTCAGTTCAAAGATTCGTCCCCCTCTTTTTTCAGAAAAATCATAACTTTCTATTTCAGTCTTGTAAGAAATTAATTCTATCAGAAACAGCAAGTCATGCGCTTTCCAAAGGTAATCTAGAGTTTTCATTATTCTCTGATTGCAGAGCTAAAGACAGAAAGAAATTCCGAGAAATTCTTGATGATGATTTTGAGCCTGCATACAGATGCTTTTTTTGGTACCTGATTAAATTTGGAACTAAAAACAGCAGTAAAATCAATGGCGACTAGCATAAGTTCTAAGGTATCTTGTTTTCAAATAGTATTGTGAGCAAGATTTGTGCTCAAAGAGGTTGTCTATGGGAAGTTGCAATTTTTGGGAAAATGCCGAAAAATTTATTTTGCCGTTTAGTAGTGTCTCCTCGAAAATCATAACTTTTCTGAGAGAAAGTCGATTAGCACTAACTCTGCTCAGTGAAAAGGAGCGTCTCCTATAACCCACTATAAGAACTGTTGGAGTTTATCTC